CTCTGCAGCTCATCCAGAATGCAGCGGCTCGTCTGGTCTTCAACCTTCCTAAATTCTCCCACACCACTCCGCTCCTCCGCTCCCTTCACTGGCTTCCGGTAACTGCTAGAATCCACTTCAAGACACTGGTACTTGCTTACCATGCTGCGAATGGATCTGGCCCTTCCTACATCCAGGACATAGTTAAACCGTACACCCCAGCGCGTGCACTACGCTCTGCATCAGCCAAACGACTCGTTGCGCCCTCGCTGCGAGGGGGACCCAAGTTCCCATCGGCGAAAACACGTGGGTTTGCTGTCCTGGCTCCAAGATGGTGGAATGAGCTCCCCATTGACATCAGGACGGCAGATAGCTTGCACATCTTCCGGCGCAAACTGAAAACTCATCTCTTTCGACTCCACTTCGAGCGTTAGAACTATTAACGAAGCACTTTTATACTAATAAAGGACTGGCTTACCTAAAGCCAGTTGAGTAGCACTTGAAATGTTTGGCTCTATGAAACCTGATGTACTTATATGATTCTGTTTCTTCAAGGTTGTGTCTTCCTGGTCGAATGTACTTATTGTAAGTCGCTTTGGATAAAAGCGTCAGCTAAATGCAATGTAATGTAATGTGCACGATTCCAAATTCTCTCATTTAAAAAAAAATAATAATCCTTGAATTCACTCTAGATGCATATTTCTCAGCTTTCCTCTGCTGAATGAGTATTATACCCTAATAAAATACTAAGCATTGTCACTGTATATATTATAAAGTTATTCAGAAGTAGAGTAGTGCACTGGTGAATTACATAATAACCTTATTTTTCGTTATAAGCTCACTTTCTAAATAATTAAGTATACATGACAGTTATTAATATTACAGAAGAATATCTGTTTCTCTCTTGCCGTATTGTTCTGTAATTTATACTGTAACCTGACATTATTTTTGGAACAGGATCATAATGCTACAGACAGAAGGTTCCTGGGCGATATGACGCATATGTATTTTAATCTTGATCAGAATTTCATTATTTTCAGAAGGAGAGCAATTATGGGTGTTCTGGGTGCGTGGTATGTTTTTCATTTTCTTCAGTTATTTTCCCACACTCTATAGAGCGTTTTCTGAGTGTGTTTGTTAGTCAAATCTAAAAACAAAAAGCCTCACTGTGAGACTGTTTGGGATCTTTCAAACTCAAAATGTAGTTTTGACAAATGCTTTCCTCGAGTATTGCATGACTCCATTGTGTATACGGTGAAAGACCTGTGTCTACCAGACATTCCCATGGGTGTCTGAGAAACCAGCAGCTCTCTCACCAACCCGCCCCACCCTCTTTCTTTTTTTTTCTTGTTCTATTTCTTCCCGATCTCCAGATCACTCTCCCTTTCCCGGCTTCTTTCCATCCCTCTCTCTCACTCTCTTTCACATTCTATTTGGGCAGACATCCAGGGCAGATCGTTGCTCTCAGGATTTCATTAAAAGGATGTTGATGGAGCACTCTCCCCAGCCTAAGTAAATGTGCTCAAGTCCATTTGAGAGAGCATTGTTTGGAAATGGATAACTGAAGTTGGAGGAGAAAAGGAAAAGAGGGAACGGGAGAGAAAGGAAGACAGGGAAAGGGAGATCTACATATTTGTCTTCCAGATGAAGCGAAAGTTTATTTGGAGTCGCTAAATAGCTTCTGCGAAGTACAAACGCTGAGCAAAAACAAGACAGAAACCCTAGACTCTGCTTCTCAATTATAGCATGTTTATCTGGGACATGGCTGCAGGTAAGAGATGACTTTCATTGTATTCCAACAGGTATATTTGACAGTCTACATAAGGGTATCTGGCACATTGGTGGATGGATAGCTCGAGCCACTGTAAGGACATGACAGGTGTTTCATATCCTAGCTATGTGTATCACTGTCTACACACACATACTCACAAATTATTGGCACCAGGGGAACATAACAGACACAAGTAAGTACACACATTACCACCACATGTTTATCCTTCATCTTTTCAGACCTGGCTGTCACAGGAACACACTCCTCTCACCCGTGATACCTCTTAACCTGACAGTCCCATCATATCTATGTTACATCCGCACTCCAGATGTGCGGCTAGCTGTCACGACTGGCCAGCACCTGTCACAGGTGCCCACGACCAGGTGGAACCAGTACTGTAATCTCATTCTGTGACATTAGGTTGACAGCACGCCTCTTAGACTGCTCAGAGTATTCAAGATGGGTGTTCTTTGTGCACATGTGGCTGGTTTGTTTTTCACATGCCTGATAGGGAAACTTGTTGAGAATAGCTTAAAACACCAAGTTTTGAAAATGTATTTTGACAGCAAAAGGTGGTAAGGTCACGGGTGTATATATACAGTATATATATATACTTTATTTAACCAGGTGAAAGTCTCATTGAGATTAAAATATATTTTTCAAGAGCGACCTGGCCAAGAGGGCAGCATAAACAATGTTACAACAAATGAACACAAAACAATACAGACAAATACAGCGGTCGTAAAACACAAATGAAATGGCACATTAACCATTCAATATGCAGAATGAGATAGAGAAACTATTATAAAACATTAAAAACTGGCACAATTTTAAAACGACTTCAATTATGGGATATACGAGCAATCACATCGACCGATGAAGTTGAAAGGTATCTTGAGGGCAAATGTAGTTTCGGTTTTCCCCCTCTCTTGGACACTAGTATTTTCCTTCACTGTGCCAACATTTATCAACCAGAAAATATACCCATCTGATGTCTCTGGAGAATCCGGCACCGTATGACACCCACTTTACCACCCTATTACCAAGGGATTTTTGCAAAGTACCACTTGATATCATTAAAGATGACTCCTCTTATGGGACTATGGTAGTTTTGCAGCTGCAGTGGATGTGCTTCATTCTGGCTCATCCACACACATTTTATACAAAGAGTTAACTGTCCAAGATAATAGGAGTGTGTACATTCTGTTTGAAGGGTGATATTTCACTTCAAGGCACACAGAAAACAGCTTGTTCCTTTTTCAGTAGCCAGCACAATATACCATATCCAAAGAGCTCTCCTCATGCTTCAAGGCTTCACAAAGCTCTCCCACTTTTGTGTTGACATTACGTCTGTTTTAATTCCCATCACCACTTCTACTACCCCGAACACATTCCCTTTGGTATTAACACTCCAATGCTTTAAAAAAAAAAATGTTTGCCTTCTTCCCTATACGCATGAGCTGTTTAGTACTTTATGTTATTAAAGCAGAATTTTGGCAGAGCTATCACTGGCCCACAGCAGTAATTACTAAGAGTTTGCATAGCTGCCTCTGACTCACTCCGCCTTGGAAATGTTATTACTAAAGTCTGTCTCATTGGAGGCGCACAGGGAGCTTCTTGTGAAGCATGAATTTTTGCTCAGGCCATTCCAGCGACACTCAGCTCATATCCCCAACAGAATCCTGGGGCAGGAGATTAGATGTACTGAGCGAGGGAGGGAGTAAGCTATGTAATGATAAACACAGGCTGAAATATCGTTTTGCTTGAAGCCGCAATTTTTTCATGCAATTATGCATTTATGTCTCTGTTTTTCATGTTCTGTATGTTCGTTCAAACCAACTGATTGACGTGAAACATTGCCTATGACAGAGTAACCGATGAAGAAGGGGAATGGCCCATTCATTTTTTCTAAGGGAAGATTTCTGTGTAACTTCCATGCCCTAGGACAAAAGAAAAGGGCAAAAGAAAGTGTCCTGGGGTCTTGGTTTAGATGAAACAATTCAGATGTGAACTAGTCTGAGATATGAGAAAGGCATTGAAGTCGTCGGGGATTAGAGATCCTTTATTATTCTACTATTGATCTCTGCCTGCTCGCTTTTCTTTTTTGTTCTCTTGCTTTCTCTGTCTGTCACACACTCACACAACCACACCAGCGCCTAATTCCTCCTAAGTTATTCTCCGCTGGCTGGTGAGAGCTCAGTGAGAACTGAGTGTTGCCTTCGTGTCTTGCAGTGTGTCCTGACAGCAGTGTCCATTCAGGGTGAGATGTTAAATCTCTTTTCAGAGTCAGCAACCTCTCTAAGGTCAAATCCTAAGGAGGTGTTCATTAATGAGCTCAGCCTCTGCACTTCTGCAGTACTACGCAACACTGACCTGTAACACTTAATAATAATACATTTGATTTTTATAGCACTTTTCTTGAACCCAAAGATGCTTACACTTACACAAGTGTATACAGATGCACACATACAGGAACACACACCAAGGTAACCTGTTTATGATTATTCCTCTCGAACATTTTAAAAGGCCTGGGGTATGGAAACACTGCAAAGGAAGCATTTTCTGTCTCTCATTCTCCTCACTAATTTATAATTTCCCTCCCTGTCTCTTTCTCTACTCCCCCCCCTCCTCCCTTCTCAGAGAGCGAGGAGGGAACAGGGTGGTCTGTGTAGGTTGCCCTCTGGGTTTGGGTTTGTTTCAAACAGCAGCTTATCTGCACATGCTCAAGTTGAGCTAATTGGCATTATTAAACCAGTGGCGAGCTTGACTCAGATATAAAGGCAGGTGCTGTTGGGTTTGTGCTCATTTGTGTGCGTCGGTAGGCCCGCACAATCATCTATGACTGTGACTGTGAATATGTGTGTGCAGAATTTTAAACCAGCAGCTGTCAATTTCAGTCAGCAGGGCACGTGGCATGTCTGAGGGCCAGGTAGTCCAATTACAGGCAGACACGCTCGATGTACGAGCCGAAGCCCCGGCCTATCTTCCTTCATTCAAACACAGCTGTGGGAGAGGAGACGCTAAATGTGATGTTGGTCGATGTGTGAAGGGCAAACACTATTGGGAGCCACTGTTGGCTCATGGAGGATTGACGCTGGATGGATAAGGGGGGATAAGGAGTTAGGAGAGCTGAAGCAGTCACAGTTGTGTTAGGGGGTTATTGTGTTACAACTGAAAATTATGTTGACAGTAAAATGTTTGGGAACTCTTTCATTTAATCTTTTGCTCCTTTTGTTTCTCCTGTTCTTAGGGTGGGAAGATCCCAGTGAGGTGGACAGCACCAGAGGCCATCGCTTACAGAAAGTTCACCTCAGCCAGTGACGTGTGGAGCTACGGCATCGTCATGTGGGAAGTGATGTCATTTGGAGAGAGGCCTTACTGGGACATGTCCAATCAGGATGTAAGTGTTATATTTATAATATTCATTAGACACTATAGATATTCTGTAATCCCCTTTTGAAACAGGGTGTTGGATTGCAACATTACATAATAATTGATAACTCAGTTAGTTATGGAGATACAGTAAAGGCGGGTTAAATCACACAGACCAATGTGTTTTCATCAAATGAATGTGTTGACTTTTTAACATGTGTTGACCACTTTACAGCAAGGCGTCACTACAGAAGATGCACCTTTTTTCCAATAATTTGTAAGTGTTTATTTCAAGGGATCCTTAAGAAAGATCATAAATGGGACATCTAAATGAGCGTTATCCCTTTTCTAAACTTCCATGCCGTAAAAAAAAAACAATTCTAAATCTGGATAAACTGCCTCATTAAAAGGATGGCCATTTCCGTACAGATGTGGTTATATTGCCTTTTCACCCCATAGATAAGCAATCAAGGATAACTCATAAGAGAGGAAGCTGTGATAAATCACACATATTTTATCAGCTCCCATCTCATAGCATCATCATTGAAGATGTCCTTGACTCTGACTTTGAAAGCAGACTTATTATGGACACAGTTTCACACTATCCTCTTTTCCTTCCTGGCCAGCTTTTGAGAGCAATGAATGATTGCTGAGAGCTCTGCTTTGTTCCCCACATCCGTTTGGATAAGGTCCACGCACAGACTCCCACCATCACACAGGCACCAACACAAACACACAAAACCATTGGATGTGTTCCCATACTATGAGGTCTCTCTCCCTAAGCTCCCTTATTGAGACAGCTAGCCAACCATCAGGCCTCTATGGACCCCGCTCCACAAGGACCGTCCAACCCAGCAGATGTTGCCTCAGTGGGCCAGCAGCAAACACTGCCCGGTGGGACTAATGCAGAGAAGAGGACTGGCACTGCTCAGCGTGTCCGGCTGCTCATTCCACACACACACACACACACACACACACACACACACACACCCACACACACACACACACACACACACACACACACACACACACACACACACACACACACACACACACACACACACACACACACACACACACACACACACACACACACACACACACACACACACAAACACAACCACTTGCAACACACTCCATATGCACCATTTGTCAAGATTGTGCTGAGTTGCACTCATCAACTCCAGGGTGGAGTTGGCAACCTGCAGAGCAGCCTCTAATTTTTAATGATAGTATCTTTTACACTTGATTTCACACCAGACCCTTACTGTATCTTGCAACTATGCATTTTTCAGAAAAGATTACATCTACAAACAGTATGGATATATGGATATGGGTGAAAGCTAGGTCCATCAATGTGCAATGCAGCAATCTGGCAATCTTTAGTGTTTGTAGTATCTTGAAAGTGGCTTTATAGCTGCATATTAAGCATTTTTGTACTTGACTTGGTTGTTTGTATACTTTTTACAACCCATATATTATAGCTTACAAACAGAGGGTGGTGGGTAAGGGGTGGTCATTCAATTGTAGGCACTCCATTTCTGCCTCCAGTCTCCAAATTTGATCGACCTTTGTTGAACTCTCAAGAAACACTTCACTCTACCCTCAGAAACTTTCAGTCGTAGCTCCACTATAACAAGTCCAGGATAGCCCGGGAAGCCTTTAAGAGACGTGTGTCAAGTGGCTGTGCTTCGCAGTGTTAATAATATGCAATCTGCCCACTCACCAGAGACTTCCTCCTACAGTGACACTGCCACTGCTTTCCATCTCGCTCCTTGCTATGTCCTCCAGGAGTGGCATGTGATTGGCTGAAGTCAAGAGGAAGGGCACATCAGCCTGCATGCTAACTGTCACAAGTGACCAGAGGGAGAGTGACTGTATGGGGCAGGGCGGGGATGTTGTTGAGGCAGGGATGAGCGTGTAAGGATAACACAGTGGATGACTGCTAGAATCCACTTCAAGACAATGGTACTTGCTTACCATGCTGCGAATGGATCTGGCCCTTCATACATCCAGGACATGGTTAAACCGTACACCCCAGCACGTGCACTCCGCTCTGCATCAACCAAACGGCTCGCTGCACCCTCACTGCGAGGGGGACCCAAGTTCCCATCAGCAAAAACACGTGGGTTTGCTGTCCTGACTCCTAAATGGTGGAATGACCTCCCCATTGAAATCAGGACAGCAGATAGCTTACACACCTTCCGGCACAAACTGAAAACTCATCTCTTTCGACTCCACTTCAAGCGATAGAACTATTAACAAAGCACTTATATACTAATAAAGGGCTGGCTTATCTAAAGCCAGTTGAGTAGCACTTGAAATGTTTTTGCTCTATGAAGCCTGATGTACTTATATGATTCTGTTTTCTTCAATTTGTATTTTGTTGGTCGAACGCACTTATTGTAAGTCGCTTTGGATAAAAGCGTCAGCTGAATGCAATGTAATGTAATGTAATGGATGTGCTTACTGTCATTAGTCATTGCAAACTCAAATGAGTATTTAACTGTTTTAAGAAGTATATTATTGACAACCAGTCGGCTGGAAGAAAGACTTTGTAACTGACAGAAATGTCTTGTAATTACTCTATGAAGTCTGATTTATAATATCACCTGAGCTTACCTTCCCACCCTTTTTCCCCCAAGGTGATTAACGCAATTGAACAGGACTACCGTCTTCCACCCCCTATGGACTGCCCCAGTGCTCTGCACCAGTTGATGCTGGACTGTTGGCAGAAGGACCGTAACGTACGACCCCGCTTCGCCGACATCGTCAGCACCCTGGACAAGATGATCCGTAACCCCACCAGCCTCAAAGCTGTAGCCAACATCCCTGCAGTGTGAGTAAAAGCACCTTTTTTCACAGCCCATGATATACACGTTCACCCTGAAGTGGATATTAAGCTGAAGCAAATATGCCTTTCATCTGTTTATACACACAGTATTTACACTTGCTGTCTCTACAAACTATCCAGCATGCACATGCTTACTTTTATCCTCTCATAAAATAAACATGGATGTATTACGGTTGATTGCATCAACCCTGAACTTTTCATCCCCAGATCTTGTTTTTTCTGTTGCTTACAAATCTCAGCCATCCACAGTTGCATATTGGTTTTCGAAATTGTTACCCCATATGTATATGTATAGAGCCAACACATGTCCTTAGACACCTTCAAATATATAGAAACATCATCTACATACAAATTCATAAAGCTTTACGGGTTATTTTGTAGAGGTACCATTGACCTTTTTTTAATCTTACTCAGACCTTGTTTTAGGCCTTTTTTCCACCCTTTCTCGAACATCCTCTCAAACGTGGCCAGAGTCTCTATGGACTTTCTGTGAACTGTGAGCTTCAGGTTTCTTCAAAGATTTTCCGTTCCAATTTCCAGGCTTTGGTTGGGCCACTGAGGGTCATTCAGAGACTTGTCCCGGAGCCACTTGTTTTGGCTGCATGCTTTGTGCTGCTGCCATGTTGAAAGGGGGACTTTTGGCCTTTTGTGAGTTTGAGGATGTGCAATGGAGCATGTTTTTCCCTCGAGGTCCCTTTTGTATTTAGCCCTATTCACAGTTCTTTACTTGTGTCCGGTTTCTTAATGTCTCACAGTGAGAAATATCACAATAGCATGCTTTCTATAAGTGATAGTATTGGCCAGGTTATGAGTGGTGGCTTTATTTTTGCGAGTTAAAGCACTTGGCATGAAGGCCAAGGAGTAATGGTTTTCTCTAATGGTACTATAGACTCTTTGTGTGCTTTTATAAAAGTTGAATAGTTGGATAGGTAGGTAGATAGATATAGTGTAAAGTATAACACCTAAATGTGTTTCATAAAAAATCAAGGGTCAGAAACACTTTCCAAAGCCAATATTCGCACAGTACACAGATACGGACACACTTTTGCCTTCTCCGTCTCGCATCCTCGCACACACACCAACGCAAACGCCATAACAACAGTTTCTCTCCTTCTTTTTTCTCAGCTTAATATTTCATCAAAGCCTTGCTCTAGACTTGCTTGCTCTTACCTTCCCCCCCCTCCTTTCCTCTCCCTCTTCCAGGCCTTCGCAGCCACTGCTGGACAGATCCATACCTGACTTCAACACCTTCAGCTCAGTAGAGGACTGGCTCAGTGCCATTAAGATGAGCCAGTACAGAGACAACTTCCTCAACTCAGGCTTTACCTCCCTGCAGCTGGTGGCTCAAATGACCTCAGAGTGAGTTCACCTGCCCGTCTGCAAACAGATTCAAAGCCATATGGCACTTAGATTGACACACTTGAATAAATTAACTCATCTTCAAGTGCATTTATTTTTAACATGAATACGCCCAGTGAGTCAAGTCTTTAAATGATAGCATTGAATTAAAGCCTGTGCTTGGTAATGCATACAAATATAACAGAGAATAACAGAGTCACTGTGGTAAAAATAATTCCATCCATGCTCTTCCAATATTATAAGTGCTATCTACAAAATAATTAATTTTATTTGCACAATTTTCTAAAATGGAAAAGTATGTTAAACCTTTTGATGCATATTTGGTGGAGCGTATTTATTTTCTGTTATTGATGTGGAATATTTTAGAGTGGGTCATGACAGCATTTCCTGTAGCTTGTGATACAAATTGACACAAATATTGCAGTTCATTTATTTTAATGAGCAATGTTGCTTGATCTGCAAATGTTCGTGAAAATGTGAAATCATTCAAACATTTATTTTATATGAAATATGTATGCTCCAGGCTTGGTGACATTTATATATTCTATTTGCAATGCAAAGCAACATGTATTATTTTCTCAAGTGATATAATTAATTTTGTAAATGTGTGTTGCCACTAGCTTTGCACCCTGAAATTGCCCTTTCATCATACAGCAATGTAAGGATTGTAAATGCACCAGAAAATGATAGCCATTTGTAATCCCTTCATACTCAAATTCCATCTTCAACATGATGGAAAGCCTATCATCTATTGCTTTTCAATGTTCTTTCTCTCTGCCTCTTTTTCTCTAGGGACTTGCTGAGAATAGGAGTGACCCTGGCAGGCCATCAGAAGAAGATCCTCAGTAATATCCAGATCATGAGGGTGCAGATGAGCCAGTCACCCACGACTATGGCATGACTACAGAGGGCGCTGTGCCATGGAGCGGGCAGCATTCGTAGGACCAACAGCAATGGCAGCCCTCGAATGACCCCCGATCCATCGGAACGCGCCAGAGTCGAGACTATTGTCTTAATCTAATCCACTAACGTGACAACAGGAGACCAGGGTCCTCACCACCACATGGTTAACAGCTATCACCCTTCATGTAATCCACACCAGGAGTTCAGGGTCAAGACTTGTAACTGTTTCTCCATTTATCGATGAATGGAAGACATGCTGCGGTTATGGACTGCCATGCATATCATTGTAAACCAAAATAACTCCAACCACCCGACATCGCCACGTGGAATCTCTCACAATTTCAGACCATATGGTAAAATGAGTGATATTGTACTTCTATATTATCTGGACTAGAAGATGTTCAAATTGTAAAGAGAAGTGTGAGCCATTTAGAAACAACGTGTGAACTGTGATTTTACCGTCGTCAATGTGTTCGATGAAGATGCCTTGACCTGGCCAGAAATCAGTCCAAGAAGAAAAAGCAATTACCAGTACGAATAATTAGAGGGAGAAGAATACAGGGATGTACAGTGGAGCGCCATTTCCAACTTTCACATCATCCTTTGCTCGTTTGAGGAATTTGAAAATTGTATCGTAAATGGACTGGTGAACATTAAGAGCCAGTTACATTTTTGTCTTTTACCATCTGTTTGATCGTTTTAGTTTTTTTTATCACTATAGCAAGATGCCGCTCACTCGTATTTTAACTTTAACACTACCTGTGGATTCCTGGGTGGAAGGCCTGCCAAAGGACTTCTCAACCAGCCCCACCCAGATTCAGAGAATATAAATATGTTTATCTCTTGCTAAATATGATTATATCTTTCATAATAAACCTTCATATTGAAGGTGATATGTATGAATATGTATGTACAGGTCTCTCTGCTTGCATTTTTGGCAAAGACATGCTTGTTGACTAGATTGTGATAGACACATGCAATGTGTAGATTCCCTACGGTGCCCTGGTTCCTTTACGATGACCGAACAACAGACACTGGCTTGTACGGCCATCCGGACTCAATCTTAGCCTGAAGAAAAACACTAAAGGAACTGTGGGCAAATAATTGGTATTGTAGATCAATATGAAACATTCTGTAGGATTTAAAATCATTTACAAAATATCCATTTATTGGAGATCATGTTTAATGTGGGTGTACACATGCTGTCTCTTGCTGGTGAGCACTTACTTGTACAGATATGTTTTATGTTTTTATTTCTTTTTGTTCTGTTGTTGATGTTTGTGTTGGGAGTGTTCAGCCCCATCCAGAGGGGAGGGGAAACCAAACCTACGCCTTGGCCGACCCAGATCCATGGTAAATACCCACTAATCACACAGGAAAAAACACTTCTTAACATCAAATTGCTCCGTTTCTGGTAGATTTTATTTCAGGCAAATCCAGTTAGTCCTTGTCATGGGTGCTGCAGATATCTTGGTCAAGGCAACATTCATTGCAAGTTTGAAATGCATAAGAGAGCTAATCATAGAACTGGAAATTGGAGTGAAAGAGCATCACTTCTCTTCACAGTAAAATGAGCATCTGGGCTGAGGTTTGCCAACAGACGCCTGATGCCATTCCTGTGAACACACAGGCTTAAACAGCCCACACGGGCACAGTGTAGCAAAGCCTCCCATACACTGCTGCAAGTACGCTGCTGAGTAAATCTATGCATTCTCACTATATGCTGCTGCCATATGGGTAGGCAGGTTGAGCACAAACGCTGTTGTGCCACAGAGAGTTTCATATATCTCTCCATAAGTCTTGGCTGCAGGAACTGGTGTATGAAAAATCACTCTTTGGTAGTATCTGATTGCAAGATGTCTACATTGTTCCCAGGGGATGAGGGATGGTTGTCTTTGGAATTACACAGCAGTATTTTTGGAATATATTTCCAGCATAGCTCTGGGTAGTGCACAAGGATGATTTCTCTTTTTTAAGGCTGTTGATGGTCTTGTATGATTGCAGTGGGATTGGTCGGTGCAATGAGACAGTGTCAGGAAACCTTGGCGATGAGTAGTAGAGGTTTGTTTCCCTTGAAGCTTGCTTTCTGCAGGCTTTGGGGAGTTTTTGCCATGTTTTATAAATCAAGTGTTAGCAATAACAACACTTGCCTTTAGTAGTGAAAGCAAACTGACCTGAAGGCTCCTGTGGTAATATTCCTTTGACATCCAGCCATGGCAGACAATTATCATGAGATATTGTAGTGTCACGTATCTGCATTAGCTGAGACCCTGCTGAAATCCCTTTTGGCCCTATTTGAAGAGACATGAATGAATATGGTTCTAACCACCTTGGTCCCAAAATTAGAAATTGATGGCAGGCCCATTAGCAGATTATTAAGTATACTCACCACCCTCAAGTCATCTTGCTCCCCCTCCTTCTCCCTCTGTCTGTCCTGCCCTCTCTGCCTGTCTACACCCCCTAGCTGGCACAACTCCAGCTTGTTTATCCTGGGTGTAACCAAGCTGTCCTGGGCCAGAATGGGCAGGGCTGGGCCATGACTGCTCTGTCCTGAGAAATGGTTAGCTCCATGCTCCAGTGGGCCCAGGCAGGGATGCAAACACCTGCTGAGACCCCCTTCTGAAAGGCATCTGATCAGCCAGCGGGGAGGAAGACTGATGGGAACAACAAAAAACTAACACACACACACTTAGTAACCCTCAATTATGTTATACCCACATCTGTTTTCCAGCCTGATGCTTAATGAAGGGAAAGTGTGCAGAACCCAGAGTGTGTGTATATGGGAGATAGGGGGATGAGTCAGTGTGCAGGAGGGAGGGGATGGCATAAAGATAGGTTGGTAGATGAAAGTCAGAAAGTTAGCTCATTGAAGTAAATCAGTTCCTTTCATCTTGCAGTATGGTTTATGTGGCAACATCTTTGTCCTTGTATTATGTTGATTTCTTTGTTTAGTTTGGTAAAGGAAAATACTGTAATCAAGCTGCTAGTTTGCCTAATGGGCAAAATCCATTGCTTTCTCCTTTCAATAGTGCAAGCCGTTGATTTACCAACTATTTCTGAATATGATCATATGCTTCTTGAGATTGGCAGAAATCCCTTTAGCTGAAGCCAATGATTCAATTTGAATGCATTAGTCCTCTATTCAGCTCAGTCTCGTGTGTTTGCTTTTCAACCCAAGAGCCTGTGAATGGGACGATAGAATGTATTCATTATGCAACAGTGTAATTCTCCATTTGCTCTGTTTGTCTTTCTAAATACGTGACAGTAATGACACTCCAATATGATAAATGTAAAGGGCGGGTCACCATCCCTCTCTGAGTCGTTTCACATGGATGCCATTCATCACAGACTGATACAAAACACAGGAACAGAGCTTGTTAAACGTTTCATGGTGCTGTAACTGTCGAAGGAGGGACCAATGATCCTTTTAGTAGTGGATTTCATGCCTGTCATTTACGGTATAGGATAGAGCAGTAGAGGCTGTGTTCACCTGAAAACAATCTGACTCAACACCCTCCAAAACGTATTAAAAAAAACATTCTTTTTTTCCCTCTGTTTCAAACTGGGGACTCAAAGATATACACACATACAAAAACAGTACACACATACACTTCATGTACACACTTTACACACACACCCTGAACACTTGCAATTGCTTCGGTCAGCCAGTAAGCAGGAAGAACAGGTGAAATGGGACCTTTCCAGGAGACCAGTCACAACCTCCCCCTATAGGTACACACTGGATGGTGGAGCTGAATATGAGTGTGAAAATGTCATAGTTTGTTTATTTGTGTGTGAGAGAGAGAGTGAACGTATGTGTTTGTTTGTGAGTAACAGGCACATTTGTGTACAGACATTTATGTGTGCACAGGTACATTGTTTAAGAGCGTGAACAATTATTATTTTTTTGTCTCTGTATAGCTACCACTTGTAAATTGTGACAAGTACGTGTCAAGAGTTTGTAAGCTGTAACTTTCTGAAAACTATTGTACTAAAATGCACTCAATAAACGCCTTGGAAAACAAGTCAATCACTTTATGATGCGTGCACTCAATGGTCTATAATTCTGTTTTCATTCATAGTGAGTCAAGAACGCAGAGAGTAAGGGTTATTATCCAGAAACACTACTGTTAGCGCTGTGTGTTATCGTGACGTCTAATGTTTGGTTTCATAATGGCTAAGGAAATAAACAGCATTTTGTCACCATCGGTCTGGGTGGCAGCATGTGTTAAAACAAAGCCATGAGCCACTAATAAACAAGCCGTCATGCACAACCAAACAATTACTCTCCTAGAAAAGTGACAATATTTTGACAAACTAGTCGGAAATTATCCTCGCAACTTAAGTGTTATGTGTCTCAAACACACACTTGCACACACTCACAGGCAGTACAAATACACAAGCAGTCACAACAGTCTCATAAATTCCATTTGCCAGAGACTGAGACTTTTTAGAGCACTTCAAACACTGGAAAGTGTGCCGCAAAGTAATGATATGGTTAATGAGGTGAGTCAAAAGATGTGGGGATGTATCAAACTCTCAGCGTTCCTCCATAACTGTTTATTGACTCTAATTGATTGATAATATCCAGCTTCATATTAGCTCGGAGACTGCTGTGCAGGGGCTGTGCCAAGCCAAAAGGGAGCCAACAAGATTCATGAAACAGCTTATTTTTCTGTCTTTTCAAGTTTGTGATATTAAACAAAGTGCTTCACTCGTCACGTTGTCCTTACTGCAATGAGAAGTGCAATGATGTCAGTAAAGAAGTGGTGAAAACGTCGGCTGTCCCTTAAAATGTTTTGACATGGTGTTGATGAAAATGTGGAGATCTTGTAATTAAAGAGTAACTGTAACCACACCCAACAGTAATGTCACTGGGTCATGGAGTACACCTGTTCCCCTCTACAATCAGCTGAAATAAACCACTGTACTGTAGGTCAGCAAGACATGGTTTTCAGAGCGTGTTAACCTGCCCTTTATGTAAACATGTCAGCTTTGTGTTTGCCTCCTTAAAAGGAAAATTCAAGCTTTAGAACTGTACAATGTTAGTCTTATTTTTCATAATGTGGCCATCCAGTGGTAATTATAGCATTGTTAACTGCTTTGATTTTGGAATGTGGCACAACATTAGTCAGAGTTGGAAAGAAACCCAGGCAGTCAGACAATTTGAAAGGTTTTCAAACCAACCACCAGGTTTACCTTATGGTCTAAATACTTGTTTCCTGCCAACTTTGATATTTTTTTGGCAATGTTGTTTTGTCACCAGATTAAATAAATACCCTATTGAGTCAAATGTTTCCATAACATAACTTAATATTGACAACCGAATCTAATATATCCAGTAAGTTGTGTTGAAGTGGACATTTCCTTTAATGGATACGTTCTTGCCTAAACATTAAATACTCACAGACGACAAAATGTTTCATGGGAGTAGTCATATCGCTCAGTCAGCCAGACGCTTTAATTGAACGTGTAGAGCTATACCAATAGTTAAACAAATGTAATGACCATTGATATGGTGATGTGCTTTATAGTATCCTTCCCCTACGCATTTAGCTTAATTGGACCTATTTGTCACAGTAATCAGACCAATTAGAGCGATAGTGGAAGATATGTGCCAGTGTGACAAGGAGTTCTACATTGCATTAGGTGTGAAAGCTGACTTTTGTGCGTGTGTGTGTGTGTGAGAGAGAGAAATAGGATGAGATCGCCCGATTGAGGTTGACAGAAAGCCAAAGAGATAAAGACAGAGATGAGTGTGGAGAGCGTTTTCTTGAAAGTATGCTTCATCCGTAACAGTGTGTTTATCACTGACGAGGGAGTCAGCTCCCTTTATTTCACATTAAAGTCACAGGAAGTTTGAAAAATTACTTTTCAGCAGCAAATCTGTGCCTTAATCAATATTCCCTGAGCAATCTTCTGTGAGAAAGGGATCGGTGCACAGCAGGGAACTCCTGCAGAGAGAAAGGGAGAGAGTTGGGGGGGAAAAAAGGAATCCATCCAGCGGTGCAGATCAGAGAGTGGGAATAGACATATTGTGAAGTGAATACTGAATGAAGGACGGAGGCATATAGTGAACTGACAACCATGGGGCATAGATGATGGCACAGAGACAGGTGGGGGGGGGAAGCGCCCCGTCGGCGAGCTATAGGAAGATAAAATGGAACGAAAGGTATTCTTGAATCATTATCCTTGTATGTACATTTTTCAAGACATATTTATTTAGCAAAACACAGAAAACATAACATTACTAGAGTTGTGTCGATCCTCAGTTACTGGTAGTTCACTTTGTGAGATTGTCCGAGGCCTAGATCTAATCTCAGTGCTTTCTGTCTGCAGGGCCTCAGTAAGCTGTGTGCATATTGACAGTGATCTTGGGGGTCTAGGAAAAGCCCACAAACTGTTGTTTGGAGACCTGAGTCTGAGTATGGTTCAGAAGCTCTGTGTGGGACTGTGTTTTTTCATGATATCCGTAATTTTACTAAATATATAATGTGAAATATAGCATGAAGATGGGGGACAAAGCTTACATCATGAGCCATCAGATCTTTTCATTTTCTAGTTGGTTGTTAAATCAGGTTCAGATCTAGTAAAATGTCCATACCATTGAACTATTCAGCAACCCCTATCACTAGAGATTGACAGAGATTAGCTAAACATATGGATAACATGTATAAATAATATGGATTCTGCAAAAATATGGATGTGTGGTCCCTATGACTGATATGACAAATATAACACTACATGTAGCCTACACAAGAGAGGCACAACTCAACAATATCATGTATACAAAGAGAAAATAAAAAGTAAATGAGTAGAATACTTTTCTCTGTTTCTGCCTCTATAAAAAGTTTGGAGTGCATTTATGGAGTGTGCTTTGTCTGGTAAAAGGTTTTGACCTTCAGCTTATTTTTCTTGCTTTCGAAGCAACATTTTCTTTTTGCGAAAAAACATAGCTAATCCTAATTCCTCAGCTTGTTATGATGGGGAATGTTCATTTCACTTGGTCAATAATAAAGTTATTGATGGACCTCAGTGAATCTGGAAATATTGCGTTGCTTAATCAAGATGTCAGCTGCAAGATTTCAAAGAGTATCTCTCTTAATAGTTTTTGTGTAGGAAGTGAAATTCAGCACCTGGGTCAAATTAGATTTTATGTCTCGAAGGTGTTCATCAAATTTAATTATGATACATATAATTACCAAAAGCAATCTACTGTGTGGTAGGAATAATCATTTCAGAGATACGCTAGCACCTGCAGGGGTAAGGCGTCATTTAGAGACAGTCTAGAGTGACAGGAGGAAGAGAGTGAAAGAGAAAAAGACAGAAACGGGTGATTGCTAGATACTCCTATGGGAAAAAGTCAGCGGTCTCCTCCTTCTTACTGTAAGAGCTTAGAAAATGACAGAAAATGTAAATCCTGTTTAACCAATCTTAGTGTCATTGTACTGTTTAGTATTCGATGGCATAACAAAAGAACATTTGACAAGTACTTGATTTTGCTTGGCTGTGAAAACATGGCCATCTTTCATTATACTTGCGCTTCAGAGAACATAAACAAAAGACTTGCCAAATCCAGATGTTTATAAATGAGCTGGATTTATCATAACAGTATGTGAAGAATGACTGCTGTTTTACAGCAGGTACAGAGTGAACAAAGGGATCGGGAGGAAGAGGTGAGTTATGATGGCTTCAAGGATCACAGCTGATCCTTCTCACCCTTCTTTCAGAGGGTGAGAAGGGGTAGGGGTTATGAGAAGGGACATTAACCCCCTTCCACATACACTGCGTCACAAGCTCCCCCACCCATACCGGAAACCCCCCGCAGAGTCTAATCCCACACAGAGCCCCTCACAGCTCTGCCTGCATTCGATTTGTGCAAAAATCAATGAAATATTTTCCCACCAAAATGAAGACGAACAATGGGTGAGATCCGCACGTCAAGGTCTTCCTAATTAGAGAGTTCACACCAAAGGGCTCCTTTGCTTTGGGGCTTGCAGAACAGAGGAAGAGGGGGGTGAAACTGGAGAAAGAATGGATAGTCAGTGATGAAGGTTATACCCTTCCCACTCGTTGCTCCCATCTCTCTAATATCAACTTCACAACTCATAACCTTGGCTGCCAAAGCACATCCGATCGGCTGACATTTTCTACGTTTCTAGCCATCGCTGTTCACACAGCATGCCATGCCAGAAGCTACAAGCTTTTCCTCTCATTGTCTCCTTCCCTGATATGCAGCGACATGTCCCTGTGTTTTATCACATCTAACCCCTTAAAATGGAAGTGGAAACCCTTCCATATTTTTGAATTATTTAAAGGCCTTCTGATGTCTTTGCTCTGGGTAAGTGCAGAAGGTATTGTGTAGTTTCTGTGTAGACATTCTACAATGCCCTTAACTTGACTGCCCTCACAGGGTGAAGAAACAAAGCAGATGATAATAGACAATGCTGACCCCTCTCTAATGAGGGCGTTGGGATGAATATATGTAAATCCCTCACCAAGTTTGCCTTTAACCCATTTGTGTAGAAGAGGTCAAATACTTTACTTCTTCTCACAGCACATACCTGTGCAATCATGACTGCAGGAAATTCATTTAAACTTTCCTCAGCTGCATGATAAACAAATTGGTTCCTCACATAAATGCACCATATCACTTTTCCTCCACACTTACAGTCACTTCTAAAAGTACTTTCTCATGGTCAAGCACTACACAGTGATGCATGTGAAGCATAATTACGTAGAGCAGTGAAACATTGGCTAATGGCAGTCATTACTGCTCTTAACCAGCACCTGCCATCTTAACAGATGCTCAAAGCATTGAGAGGTGCGTTTCAGAGACAAGCTCCAGCTGGTGTAATGCTATTCATACTTGGTGAAGAGGGATACACTGCACAGTCATACTTTATATGATGCCGTTAACTGGCTGTTACAGAGCTCCTTTGGAAATATATAGCATTCAGCTTTATGACACGCCAATGTGTGCATACTAACTTCAGATCGTAAAAATGTATACTTCCAGTCCCCATTACTGATTGG